TCTTAAATGGTACTTCACAGTAACACAAGGGAGTTTCCTGGATTTTTACAGCACTTTCCTGAAATCAGTTGTACCTGATGTGCCCAAGTGGCCAGAGAGGAAAAGAAATCCAGTGTGCTGACATTCCAACTCACAGGTCGTGGGCAGTGGAGTGGGCCTGGGAGAGCTGCACCATCTCCATAACCCTGCTGGACCCTCCATCCTCTTCTTCTCAGGGAAGGAGTCTAGAACAGTGTTTTTCCAGGGCCAAACTCTGCCCAGTTGACTGGTAAGCAGAAGGTGCCTGCCCAGACAGCGGATGGAGGACTGCAAACACTGTTCGGTTTCTTTTGATTAATTTCATGGATACATTTTAGATCTACATAATAATAATGTTCATCAGTTTGTACTTGTACACGATCCATTTTTGTTTCTTTTTTCCCATTCCCCTTGCCTCCCTTCACGCCCTTTCCCTTCCTTATTTACAAGAACTTTGTTTCCATTTTTTCTTTCTATTCTTTTTTCTTGTCCCTTCCTTTTCCCCTCCCCTCTCCCTTGTCCCCCTTCCATTAGAATGTTTTCTATTTCTACAATATCTATTTATACATTTTAGTTCTTAGTTACACTTAGGCTTCTCACACTAGAGAATGTGATATTTACATGAGAGTCCAATTTATTTTGCTGACAAGTATGGTGTCAAGGTGTATCCATTTACCTAGAAATGTCTCAAGCTTATCTTTCTTTATGGCTCCATTGTATTAAAAAACCACATCTAAAAAGGAACTCTTCTGCACTGTTGATGGGAGTGTAGATTGGTATAACCACTGTGGAAATCAGTCCAGAGATTCTTCAAAAAGCTGGGATTGGAAGTCCCATTTGATCCAGCTATTCTGGATCCACTTCTGAGCATATTCCCAGAAGAACTGAAAACATCATACCACAGTGATATATGTCCATGTTATACTACAATAGCAGCACAATTTGTAATAGCCAGATCTTGGAAACAACCTAAATGCCTATCTACTGAGTAATGAATAAAAAAGATGTGGTGTTTTTATATAATGAGTACTACTCATCTGTAAAGAAGGATCACATTGAGTCTTTTGTAGGTAAATGGATGTGACTTGAACCATACTCATAAGTGAAATAAATCAAACTCACATGTGTAAACACCATACTGTCTCTCTAGTTCAAGAAACTGAAAGAGTAAATAAGGTACAAAATCTTTAATAAATATTGTGAAAGAGCAGGAAACTTCTCAAAGAGGAAATAACTCAGGAAAAAGGAGAAAAGAAGTAAGGGAAAAGAAAAGAAATATAAATTTATATATATAAACTTAAGATAGCTAAGATGATTATACTATTCTATTAGTTATTCCAACAAAACAGTTAACATTCATAGGATTAGATTAAATGTGCATGTGTATATCTGGTAATCTGAGTAACTCTTTGAAGATAACTGTAAAATAACAACCTTTGTTATGTTCCTATTACCTTGTTTTGAAAGTCTATATTTTTACTGTTTTGGGCTTTTTGTTATTGCTATTTATTTATCTTTTGTTTAATGTTTTTCTTGTATTTTGTTTTGTTTTGTTTTTCCTTTTAATACAGAAAGTATAGATATACATGTATAGGCTTATAACATGCCAAGAACTTCTAAAGAGTTTACAAGAACTGATTTTTTTTTTCGCAAAGTCCTCACATTAAAACAAGAACTGATTTTATTATGTGTGATGGTATGAACAGCTAATAAGACTTTACAGTAGCCATTGCTAATCTCCTATTATCTTGTTTTGAAGTCCAATAATGTTTTTATTCTTTGTTTTGATTGGATTTAGACTGTTTTCTATTATTTGATTTCAATATGTGTGAACATATAGACAGCTATTTTGAAGAAAACAAGGCACATTATGATAACCATTGTTGATTTTCCTATTGTCTGGTTTTTGTTTTGATCAGTTTTATACTGTTTTGTTTGTTTGAATTCATTGTGTGTGAAAATATGGACAACTATTTGGGACAGAACAGGAGACACTGAGATAGCCACTGTTGATTTCCTGTTGTTTTGAAATCCTGTGTTACTTGCATTGTTTTGTTCTGATCTGCTTTGTTGTGTTTTGTTCTGTTTTATTTTATTCTCTTTAAAATAAAAATAAAATAAAACCACATCTCACTTATTCATTCATTAGTTGATTTGGGCTTTATTCACTCATGGGTTGATTTGTTACACTCTGTGCCACTATGTACATTGGTGTGCATATGTGGTTGTGGCCTAATGCTTTTAATTCTTTGGGAAAGACGGAGGAGAATAGCTGGCTCAAATGAGACCGCTGTTCAGTACTATTTGACTTACTACACAACATGAGAATATCTATGCAGGGTGAGGGTTATAACATTTTGTTCCTTGCCACCCACCCAGGCAACAATCAGTGGCAGTCACCTTTAAAGACCTCAGGGCCCTTTTTCTACCATAACTTTGTTTGCAAGATTGCACGGCACTGTTCTGACTGTGCAGAAGCTGCAAGTGAGCCACACTTCCACTGAGGGCTGCAGACAGCGCTCAGCCTTCACAGAAGAAGGGATTCTGAGTTTGGCACGGCAGTCCACTAAGAACTGATCTTCTGATAGTGAGTAAATGAGAAAGTGGAAATTAGATAGAAACATCGTTCCCTCAGAGACAGGTAAGCGTAGCGGTTAGACATATACTTATTTAAAGATTTCTGTCGCTATGAGCTATGGTAAACTTGTCCTGTCTGTGCCAGGCACAAACAGCACTATGAACTGCACACAGCAAAACCCTCTAACATGCTAATAGTCGCCAGACTTTTCCATTATTGTCATTACTAACCTATAGATCAAAACATGAATCACACTTGCCCAAAGTTATACGAGTGGAAATAAGCAGGCAGGTTCCACCCCAAATATCTGGGTCTCAAGAGATTACTTTTAACCACTGCACTGCACTACTTGGAAGAAAGAATAATAATGCCAACTATACTTGAGTGAACAATGGATACACACTAGGCACTGTACTAAGCTCTGAACCTACGTTATTTCATTAACTCCTCTTTCTGACCCTATGAGGGAGGCACTAATGTTATCATTCGTAAATTACCAGTGGAGAGAGCTGAGCAGAGGTTCGGTAACTTGCCCAAAATCCCACAGCCAGTGAGCCAGAGGGAGTGGAAAATAAATGTTGGTAAGCCCTTCAGATTCGTGCTTTGCTGTGCATAGCTTCACCACCGCCATGGTCACCAATGTCTGGACCCAGAATAAACATGTATTAAGTACTTGCTAGGACTACGGAACTCTGATCACCCTAGAAGCCAAGCAATAATGAGACAAAGCCAAGCAAGAAATGCCAGGAACAGCGAGGTTTCAGCCAGTCCAAGGTCTGCAATGCACCCCTTATACCACCAGGGGGAGCAAGAGGAGCCTTCGTTTGAGCCAGGGTCCAAGGGCAGTTTGCCTGGGTGTGCACTTTTCAGTTTATTGAGCTTTCTCCTTAAGTGCAAAGATTCATTTGCTTCCTGCTTTTGGTACATTTACATCCCGGCAGGACACGAATTGCAGAAGGTATAGCCACTAGACATCCTCCAATCTGTACAAGGAGTCTTGGTGCCCAAAAATGAGTGACACGTTCCGTATTGGTCCCATTCATTCTTGTCCATACCCTTTAATACCTTTAAGCACATCTGTTTTAGATGCAAAGTCAACAAATTGCAGGCAACGAATCAGCTTACGCAACATTTTCTTCTGGGAAAAAAAAGATCTTTGAAAGCCTTACTTGGGCAGCGGTTTGCTCCTTTAGCAAGATGGATAAATAGAAGAAAAAAGGAGGTTATGCTATTTGCTTACCGTGGAAAGATTGTCTCAGCAAGGGCTTGGCATTTTTAGAGACAGAACACCACCCCCATCCACCCGCCTCACACTGCCCACCGCGCGCCAGCCCTTCCCAAGTCCAGAGGCGAAAACTGTGACTCACTTGAGACATAAACCCAACCCACAGAAGTGCTGGCTGGGCTGAGGAAAAGTATTGCTAAAAGGAAGAGAAACCTTATTTTCCTTTTCTTTTCTTTTGTGTAATTTCCAAGCAATTTTTAGCCTCAGCTGCCCTGCCTTTGAGGAGGATGACTTTCCGGTACACGCCTCCGAGTTTTACCACAAATGCCCCTACCAGCAAAGCCCAGCAGGGGGCGGAAGGTCACGCAATTTCTGCAGCTGCAGCCACCGGAGTCTCCGTGTCCCAGAACTTGCACGTTTTACCTCAACAGACTTCAGGCAAGCTGAGGGATTCTAGTCCTTCTAAGACTGCAAAAGCTGGGGTGGAGCGGGGAGTGGGGGTGGGAAGCAGGGCTGAGAACGCACAATCCAGAAGGCCAGGGTGGAGGCCCGCGGCCATCCCTGTAGACAATCTGCGCTCCTGGTCGCGGGCGCGGAAGCTACTCGGGAGCTGTCCAGGGGGACCCGGAGCGCGCAGGCCACCAGGACCCCCACGCTGCTAGTGCCGGGAGGGCTGCCCAGGGCGAGAGGGACAGCTGGATCCCGCCCTGCGTGTGCTCAGGCCAAGGGCCGCGCTGACCCCTAGGCTGGCCCCAGGCGGGCATCATCGGGTGGACTGGTGGGCAATCTGCACGACAAAGGCGATGGGGGGGACAACCGGACAGTCTCACTTTTCAGGGTGTTGACCAGCAGCCTGGTTGTTTAGGGACTGGGAATTGGAGAGCTTTGGGAGGTAGGCTGCTTTCGGGCGTCTTGATTTGAATACGTTTTGGGTTAAATCAAACAACCCTAGGCATGGTGGATTAACTATAATCCCAGCACTCTAGGAGACTGAGGCGAAAGCATTATAAATTGGAGCCCAGCCTGGGCAAATTAACATTTAGCGAGGCTCTCTCAAAAAATAAAAAGTAAAATAAAATAGGGCTGTAGCTCAGTGTTAAGGCTCTGGGTTCAGTCTCCAGTACTGGGGGGAGTGAAAGGGGGAAAGGATAGAGAGAAAGGGAGAGGGGGTGTTCTTCTGCATCTATCAGCATTTAGCAGACTCTAATGATTGCTGATGGCGACAATTTAATGCTTGCCCAGCAGCTAGATGATTACTTTCACTTTTTTTGTATGTGTTCATGGAACCACAAAAAATGCAGTGTTTCTGTTGGTTATTTCACAGCTCTATAGAAACTGCAGTTACAGTTTAAAATCCAATGCACAGCATGAGGATGGCAGCTGATAAAGTGGACTGTGTTGAGGAATTTTGCTAAATGGGTAGAAAACAGCCGCTGTTGCCATAGGGGAGAAAATGAGTAATGGATATGTTCACTCGTCCACTGTTGTAACCATTTTTCTACACGCACTGTAATTTGTAGCATTATGTTACATCCCTTAAACAGACACAATAATGTTTTTAAAAAGATCTGGGGCTACATGTGTAACTTAGTGATAAAGAGCCCGCCTAGAACGCTCAAAACCCTAAATTCAATCTCCAGCTCTGGAAAACTTTTAAAGGATGTTAATGAAGAGCAGTTACAATATAAGCTCAGTACAATGTAAAGTATACCTTATTGTATACTCATGAGCATATAAACCATACGTATGGTCAAATTACTGGATAGAAGTTTTAAAAGTTAATGTTTTCTAGTTATCGGGTTTGCCAGCTAGCTCTAAAGTATTCATATTACTGAACTTATATTAGTCATTAAGACTTACATTTCTGAATAATAGAGGTAAACTGATCTCAGCAGCAAAGTTTCTACTTTTTTGCTCCTTTAAATGGGGAAGAAAAAAATAAAAATAACAAAAAATTTTAAAAAACAGGGAAGATAGATTTTAAAAAAGGAAATAGGAAGTCACCTTCCACATATAATTTATAAAGTAACCAGCTGACTGATCACAATGTAAAGAGGAGTGAAATCAAATTTGTGACACAAAATATAAAGAACACCACCTCTGTGAAATGAGTTACAATAAATGTCCGTGTGAGCCTCTCATATAAAAATACTTGTTTTTTTCTTGAGTGAACTCTTCACAATTCTGAAAACCAGTGCAAAGTTGATCATCTCATCCTTGGTTATGCATAGCCCATGGAGAGAGGCCAGGACATCCACAGTTAAGGTATGAATACCTCTTTTTACCTACGATCAATACACCTTGCAATAAAGTCATTTCTTGCCTTTTAAATAAAATTTAATAAAAGTTTTTGTGTAGCTTTCTAGGATGAAGCAAGGTAAATCTGAAGAAGGAATCTTAGGGATAAAATTGCACATGTTAAGGAAGTATAATTGATTATACCAGCTTTTCTGGTGTTGGATTTTTTGTTGTTGTTTGGTCAAAAACACAAGTACTGGAAGCCATGTATGGTGGCATACACCTATAATCCTGACGCTCTCAGAGGCTTAGACAGGAGAGTCAGTTTTCCTCTACTATTCTGTAGTTTAAGCTTTAGTAACTAATATAAATGTGGTTCAAAGCTAGCCTGGGTGTTTTAGTAACTTAGTGAGAACTTGTCTCAAAATTTAAAAAGGGCTGCAGGTATAGCTCAGTGGGAAAGGCCCTGGGTTCAGTCCCAAAGGGACAAACAAACACAGAATTGCAAAATAACCAACAAAAACATTACATATTTTTGTGGTTCCATGAACACACATGAAAAAGAGAAAGTAATAATCCAGCTGTGGGCAATCATTAAATTGTCACCATTAGCGATCATGAGAGTCTGTTAAATGCTGATAAATATGGAAGAGCCTTGGATGCTGTGCCTTGGGAATTGTTCTTTGGGCTAGAGTATGGATTTGTTGTTGTAGCCTTTCTCAGAAAAGTTGAAAAGCAGTGTACAACATTGGAAATTCAGGGCAGCCATAATACCCAATACAAAGAAAATGATCAGCAGATGTCTTTTTTTTTTTTGTACCAGGGATCGAACTCATGACCTAGCACCTGCCAGGCAGGTGTTTATGCTGCTGATCTAAACCCCCCGCAACAGATGTCATTATTGATGACATCATTGCTACACCTGCCATCACCTGAACCCTCTTCCAAGTGACAGGCCCTGGATCTCTTCAGTCAGCTCTTGAGTTCCTGAATCCTATATCCTACAAAGCAGCGTGGGAGCTTCCAGTGTTTCTTTTGTCCTTTATCAGTTCTCTGGGATAATGTTACACCTTGGAGAAGACCTGTCCCTTAGGTCTGTTCCAGGGAATTGGCACAGAGCTCCCTTGATTGAGTGTCCTACTTCTATCAAGTCAGCAAATAGTCACTTATTTAAAAGATACTGTTTATTTTATCAGTTAAGGTGTCCATGAGTAGGCTGTCCGCGTTCTCAGCCATTGACTGATTATGAAGTTCATTGGATTATGTTAATGTAATCAGCACTAAACGTACAGAATTATACAGTGAACAAACACTAAAGCCACTTCCCAACTTTCCCACAAACCACCATTAACAATTATGAGCATTTCTCCATTTTAACTTTAAGGAACACCCCCTCACATACACAAAAAAGTGTACTTGCTGTGTTCCCCTCCCCAGGCCCTGCACAGGCACTGTTTACATGTTCCCTTGTGACACGTTTCCTACAGCCAACTCATCACTATGCACATTCCCATTCAATGTATTAGAGCACATTTTAAAGTTCTTTTAGTTTAGGAGTGGGATTTGTTTGTTTGTTTTTGTGGCACTGCAGATTGAACTCAAGAGCACTGAGTTACATCTCAGGCCTTTTTGTTTTTTATTTTGAGACAATGTCTCATTAATTTGCTCCAGCTGGCTCAGGTTTTTCCTTTCATAAACTTTTTATGTGGCCTCCTAAGTCCACACCAGATCTTCTGCCAGATGTGTACATCTTTGCTGTATATACAGGAGTCCACTAGGGAGTCCAACCTTTCCTGAGGCTCCCTCCCCTCTTCCTCCCCATCCAGTCTGGAGCGCTGACATGGTTTCTTTGCCTCTCTGTTCTTGGATCTCACATCTTTCTCTTTTTTGTTGTTTCGTTAGTTCCTCTTTTTGTCAGTACAAATCCTCTGGCATCATCTTTAACAAGGGTGTACAGAATTTCTTTTTTTTTTTAATAAATTGTCTTATTTGATTTTTATCTTTTTGAGACAAGGTCTCAGTATGTAGTTCAGCCTCACTTTGTAGCCAGGGCTGGTCTTGATCTTGCAACAATCCTCCTACTTCAGTCTCCCAAGTGCTGGAATTACCGGAGTGCTCCACCGCGCCTGGCCAGAATTTCTTTTTCAGATTGTGTGTGTGTGTGTGTGTGTGTGTGTGTGTGTGCGCGTGTGTGTCTGTGATGAACTATCTCAGTGAACTTCAAATACACAGTGCAGTAGTATTAACCATAGTTACCATGCTGTGTGTTGTTCACCCCACAAAATCAACCATTTGCACTCTTTGACAATACCCCTCCTTCCTCTTACCCTCTACCCCTCAGCCTGTAATCACCATTTTACTCTCTGCTTCTGTGAGTTCAACTCTTTCAGATTCCACATGCAAATGAGATCACACGGTGTTTTCCTTTCTGCTATCTGGTTTATTTCACTTATTATAATGTCCTCTGCGTTCACCTCTATTCTCCTAAAGGCAGGGTTTTCTTTTTTTTAGAGGTTGAGTAATATAATATATATATACATATATTATATACTATTGTATGAATATTATACAATGTATATATGCATGTATTATTATATACATATATAATATACATACAATGCATATATGTATAGTAATATATTTTCATTTGTTATATATGTATATATAATATATATGTGCACTACATCTTCTTTATCCATTTGACTGACGTTTTTTATATAATTTGATCTTTGTCTCTTCCTTTTTATTCTCATATACAAAAATCTTGAAGAAAATTGTTACTTTTATGCCAATTAATCTGATAATGAAATAAATACCCATTTTTATGTACCTTTCAAAAAGTAACTTTAAAGAAAATCAAATATCAATTACTATTGGCAACCTTGGCCAATAGGCACACATCTATCCCCACATCTAGTAACCTCACTTGAGAGAGGTATCTAAGCCTATTCCTAGTTTTCAACTTGCCTCGGTGCTGTGGAATCACTTCGTGGGGCAGAAGCTGAGAAAGCTGTCTCATCTTTCCTGGGATCTTCTCTGAGACTTCACCAACTGGTGTGGTTCTTTGTATTGGTTAAATTACATAAAGAAACAATTGAATATGTCTGAATGAATTAATACATAAACTTTCAATATTTTAATACATTGTCTTTGGAAATATATGCCTTTTGAAATTTTACACTATAAAAAATTTACATTAGAAATAGGAAATCAGGGCCTGGGATTTAGCTCAATGACACAAGTACCTGCCTGGCAGGCATGAAGTGATGAGTTCAATCCCCAGTACTGAAAGAAAGAAAGAAAGAAAGAAAGAAAGAAAGAAAGAAAGAAAGAAAGAAAATTAAAGATTAAGATGAAACCAAAATTTAAGATGAAAGCCTCTTAAAATGTGGATAAAATTTGTAATGATAAATAAAATGTTGATAGCATTTCATATATCCAAGCAACAAACATGTATGGATCATGCATCATGTCATAGATACAGATCCTGGAATGGACCTGAAACTGTGGAGAGGCAGGCATGGCCATGGCCTCAGTGAACTCACAGGGACTCAGGCAGGGACAGGGCTATTTCATCCCCATGTGGTAAAAGCTATGTGACAGGGAAGCAAAGTTTGTAAGAAAGTACGGACCCCAAAGTTATGGAGCAGGATGGACAATAGAGACTCTGCTCTGCAGAGATCTGAAGGAGGAATGAGTTACAGATGCTAAGCTGAAAACACGGGATAGAAGGACTCAGCAGAGTAAATCTCACTTACAAACTTAGAGCTTGAAAGTTACTTGTATTGAGAGAAATAAACATACAATTGATAGTGCCCATGAGAAGAGAACTATCTAAAAAATGAATCTAAAGAGTTGGTCATGGTGATGTACACCCATAATCCTAGCACTTGAGAGGTTGAGGTAGGAAAGATGGAAAGTTCAAATCCAGCTTTGGAAATTTGGCAAGACCCTGTGTCAAAATTAAAAAATTTTTAAAAAGACTGGGGATATAGGTCAGTGTGGAAGCCTGGCATCCAATGCCCGATACTTCTTAAAAAATAGTAGAAACGTAAGGAAACCAAAGGCAAGTCTAGAGAAATAAACCAAAGTCAGATCACGAAGGCCTTGACAAAATACAAAGAAATGATATACTGGATTTGCATGTGAGCCAGTAATACTGTGAGTAAGAGTTCAGTTAGGAGGTGATTGAAATAATACAGGTCCAAGGCAAGAGAGACCTTGGGAAAAAGGTAGCTGAGGGCAAACTAAGATGGGTTGGAATGGGGACAATAAACGAGGAGTAGGAAGACATGGAGTATAGAACCCAGGCCTCTGATATGAGTAAAAGGCAGTGATGTGCCCTGGAAGATGAGAAGACAGGCAGAGGAACAGAGAGGTAGGAATGTGGAGCTCTTGCATGCCCAGCAGAACATCAAGTAGAAATAGACAGATGTTAGGTGCAGATGTGGTCAAGGAGCATAGGTATGGGGGTAATGGGACAGAGGTTTCTTGAAGCCACAGGAGTGACTGAGCTCATTTGCATGTAGGAGAAAAGAAAACCAACCAGGGACTGACCCATGAGGTACATCAATGGAGGAAGAGCCGGGTTTGTAGCAAGGAAATAGTAGAATATGATGCCAGAGGCCCGGAGCATAACGTGTATGTTACACCTGTGTAGGAACTCAGAAAAATTATTTTCTTTTTGAGACTCAAGAATGAGTTGAGTGGTTCTTGTATGGCTACTCTGTATCTAGCAACTATGGATATGATAATTCTGGGCTGGGAACTTAAAATCTGTTTGACAAAGAACACATTTACGATAGCATTGGTGACTACAACAGTGTGCGAATTACAGAACCTGAAAGCACTGTCCATAACGAGTAATAACTCTGCTTTAATGGAAAGGAGAAAAAATAGTTTATTTTGAGCCAAATATGTGTGATTACAGCCTGGGAACATGAATTCAGGGAACCCTGAATGGCATGTTTCACCATGGAAGGGGTCAGATGAACTTGGATAGTCACAGAACGAAAGAAAGTTCTAAA